TGCGTTATAGGAATGTAAAGTAACTTGTTGCCTGGCAGCTTACAGAAAACATGTCTAAATATTTGTTTCTGTGGACCTTTAAAGGAACAAGCTAACAAGCAGCACTCTGTATGTTTACTTTTACATTTTAATGTCACTATGATGTGAGAAAAGTTTAAGTCTTTCTGAGTATTAAATCAAGAAATTACTACTTCAGTGATCCTTTTTTTTTTTTCTTGGTCACTTAAGTGATTGACAACTATCAACACCAAAGCCAGCTGTCAATAATCAGTTGTTCCTATATGTAGGATTATTTATTCATTCATACAAAAGATTATTTGGTTAATCCTATATTAGTTATATAAAGTTGGCATCTATATTTTGAGACTCAAAGAATTGCAGTAATTATTCCTTTATATGTTTACAATATTTATAGCGCTGTTGTAAAGAAGCTAGTGAATCACATGAGTTATTCTGTATTTTAAATCTGATACATTGTGCTGTACTTTTCTGAAGGTTTTTATGTTTGCTTTCATGCTTCTTTCATGTGTTTGCATATATATGTTATAGCTATATCTGGCTATATATATACACATGTAATATTTCATGAAAGTGTTGAATCTTCACCTGCCGTTTTTCTTCATGCCAAAGAACACTTGACATATATGTTAATTAAATTTGATTACAGTCTTTTAAGTGTCCTGAAGTTAGAAATACAGCATATTTTAAAAATCCACAGCAGTGTGGAGCCAGAAATGGATTATAGGAAGAATAAACATGGGGAGGTACGAGCATGTAGCAAGGCGTCATTACCTGGACGTAGAAAACAAACTTAAGTGCTGTTTTGTGACAGATGTCTGTTGAATGCGATGGGATTTGACTGTGTGCTGAAAGTTAAGTTTTTACCTGTTTTACTGATGGGTCTAAGTTTTGTGTGCTCAGAAGTAATCATATACTCTGGTTGAAGTTTGGCTTTGTACTTCAGGAGTACAGGATTACAAAATCCTTGTGCTTGACCAAACTGTGTTACGTGTTTATGTTGCTACTGCAGTGCTTTAAAAAAAGATAGCTGTGACTGAGCTACATTTTTCAAAGGTGATGATGAGGTGCTAATAGTAAATGAAATTATTTTACAGGATACTAAGTTTTGCCAGCATGTAAATAAATCTTCCTTTAATACCTTGCAGCCGAGTTGGCTGTCTTTGCTGCCCTCTAGTGTTCTTTTTACATGCCAAACCACAGGCAGAGATTTTAAAGAGATCAGGCAGATATTTTTGCTGCCGTATTTGCTTCCCTTGTTAAGTTTTTTATCAGTCATCTGTACTGCTGTTGAAAAGGCTACAGAAAAATCCATTAATTACCTCAGCTCATTCAATTCTGTAATGATGTAGAATCAGGTATGGTCTGCAAGGCCATCTTCTCTGAGAAAACTTCAGATGTGTGATGAGATCTTTTATTTTACAAGTATATTATAAAGTCTTGTGTGTGGCTTCTGCCAAAGTATCTTTGAATTTAGCATTCTGATAATCAAACCTCTATGATTGCATTTTTATGATTTAAGGGTTGATTTTGTTAATAATAATAAATTTTGTTAATAAATTATGGTAAATAAGGAGATCCTGAGAGTTAGTCTTACAGGACTGCAGGTTATTGCTGGTACTTGTACTTTACATTATAATGTTATTCCGAGTTTTTGAAGTCTATTGTCATTTCTGTAGCATTTCAAGAAATTTTAGAGTTCTTGCTTGTGTGCACCTTCTTGTCTCCTTATAGTGGTGCAACTGAAACCCCTTCCAAATACAAGTCTGGTTGCTTATTACTTGTACACAGGAAAGCAGCAGATAGTTTAACTCCAGAGTTAGTTGTTTTTATTGTTTGATTCTTGGATCTGTTTTCATAAACAGTATGAGAACATGACACTTCAGCTTTAATATTTCTCTTTTTTTTTTACTGGCTAAAATTGAGATTGTGTTTGTTTTTATTTAATCAGTATGTTTACCTTTTTTAACAATAGATCACAAGTTCTACACCAATATTTATGTTCTGTAAATCTTGAATGAGAATTTGTATGAAGGAATGACTTTCATCTCTCATGTAAATGTGTACTTCTATAACTTGGATCTACTGCATATTTTTATAAAGTTACCTTTTCAGAACCTATGTAGTCTACTGCCATATTAACTAAATCTCGTATTTGTGAGAAATACTGAAATGACAGTTCTGGAAGCAATCTGTGTCAGCCACTAAAGTAATTATTCTGGGACATGCACAGGCCACAAAGGATTTTTATATTGTTCTGTCTCAGTACATCATTGCTGATATAAGGAAAACACCATTCATCAAAATTGTTGTGTACTTCCCTTTTTGAGACAGCTGTTCTTCTAGTACTAAGGTGGGCTTTTGTGATCCTTAGTCCTGCTGAAAGATAGCTGTTCTCTTTGCTGAGAGACAATGCGAAGATAAAGGCTTTTGGCACTCTTAGACTGGAAAATTAAATGCTGTTCTTTGGACCAAGTCCAGATAGTTGATTTGACTGAAGAAATAAAAGATCATTTTTTCAATGAAGCAGAAATTATGAAGATGGTAATTTAGGACTCCATTTCATACTTGTTCATATTGTTAGCCATCACCTTTTTCCACTAAATTCTACAATAAAAGTTTTGAGCTCCAGGAAAGTCTTTGTTTAATTTCTTATTTCAGCTTAGGTAAATTTAGGACCATATCCAATGCAAGTGGATATTAGTATTAGTCAACCTAGTCTGTAAAACAAATATAACTATGCCTTAAATTCAGAGATTTGCCTGTCTGTATATTAGAGATGCCAAATTTGTAGTGATTAATAGGCAAAACATCAGTATGTTGTGAGTCAGTTTTATATTGTATTGCAGTACTGAAAGAAACGCTTGTAATTTAGCTGTTCTGGTACTTGCAAAATGTGATGCAAAACAACTCTTTTTTTTCCTGAGTACCCTTTTTAGAAGAGGAAAAATGCAATTCATAGAAAACTGGGGTTAACAGTAACATTTGGTAGAAAGTAAAAAAAATTAAAGTTGCCACCAGGAGGAGCAGTACCAAAGTGTTCTCATTTTTTTTACTGGCACAGTTGCCTAGTGTTGTAGCTGTAAGCTGTATCTTTGGGAATTTAATTTTTTTTAAGGGTAGGGTACTAAATAGAATGCAACTAAAATAAAAACAACCCTGAAATAATGCAAATGAACTCAAGTATTTTTGCAAATTATAATCTGGAAAATAATTATTCTTTTGACATTTGGAATTTAAATTTAAATCTGTTTAGGTCTGTATCCTGGCTTCATTATGGTATGTGGTTAGCGAGACATTCTGTATCCAAATTAAGTCTGGTTTTGTATCTGTTAGTTGAGATGTAACAGAATAGTTTTCAGGGGCTGGTATTACTGCACTCAATTTTCTGTATCTTCCTAGACCAGCCCTTAGTGAAACAGGCACTCAGGCCATATAGCTGGTGCATGTGTGTCTGTGTGAGAGGCAACTTGTCTGCAGTGCCAGGGAACGAGTTCAGTGAGAAGCACAAAGTGCCAGACCTTGCTGCAGGGGTTTGAGTCTGGGCTTTCCTTTTTTTGGTCCCATTCTGTGGCTGACCCCCCCAACCCCAGCACTTACAAGTATCTTCGTAGTTGAACATTTAAAATCTATAAAGCAATGCAAAGGTTTAGGAAAAAGGGGAAATTTGTTAGTGGATGAAGACTTGTTTTAATGTTACATATTTCCCTGAATGTATTTTAAAATCTTGTCGATGTGGCATTTAGGGGCATGGCTTAGTGGTGGACTTGGCAGTGCCAGATTAACAGTTGGATTGATGATTTTAGGGGTCTTTTCCAACTTAAAGAATTCTATGTTTCTATGTAGCAGCATTTATTTGTAAGGGGCAAATTTGAAAAAAATCAGGGGTTATCTTATAGTCTTCCAAACTATGTAGCTAAAATATTTTGGTAATCAGCAATAAAATTCATTTATCAAGCAGCTCCAATGAAATTTTGACACAAAGGAAGAAATGGATGCATACATGGCTATAAAACTTTTGAAAGTAGCATTTGCATTTAAAATACAACAATTTGACATGGAGTAACTTCACAGTGATGGATGTTACTGCCTACATTTAATAATCATAATCAGCAAATGAGAATGTCTAATTTTTTTTTCCTTGAGTAATAGATTTTATTCATACAGAAAATGTGTATAGTCACAGTCCGTGACATTACTCCTGAAATGCTGTGATGTTGTGTGTATAATCTAAATCAGATTTTGGAAACCAGTGCTATTTCTCATTAGTGTGTTCAAATCCTGGTATTCCATATTAATTTCACGTTTCATTAACTGGATTGTCATTAGTGCTTTGTTTCAAATTCCTGGCCCATTACTGTTACCAATTCAAAATGCTCCTGTCTATCTCCTTGATATTATCTCCCTCACACTTAGTGGGTAAGTATGTGCTCAAGGGCTATTTTTATGTGTAGTATTAACAAGTTATTTACTCACGTTTATAGCAAAGGTTTTAAAATGGAAATAAACACTTGAAGTAAGTCAAGTAGATTTTTTTTTTTTTTTCTGACGGGAACCTTAAAAATTCTGTTGAAGATTGTTTAATAGCTAAATTGAACACAAGGTCACCTGGGTTCTGTATGTAATGTCAGAGGTGATAGTCCTTTGCAAAACAGTAAAGTCTCTTTCTGTAAATTGTGATTTTCGGAACCCAGAGAGATAAAGTGAAAGTCACAGAGATAACTCAAAACTGAATGCTAAGGCAAGGTAAGTGTGTGGGTCATGTTGTACTTACCCTGTGATGCATCTATGAGAGAAAAATGAGGTTTTAATTTTTTTTATGTGGAAGGTTTTTTTTATTTTCTGGTTTCTTTCAAAGTTTTAAACCTGTGAGTCCAGCAGTACAGCTAGGTCACATAGAAATAAAGAAATAATAAGTGATTGCATCTTACCTTTCTTTTATTTTAATGATCTGCTGTGTTCTGGCAAATATTTCCCCATAGGATGAAGATGAGCTGGACTCTCACACCATGGTGAAGACCAATTCAGAGAGTGCTGGTACTATGAGAGCCACCAGTACGATGAGTGAAGGCGCTCAGACAATGATTGAACACAACAGCACCATGTTAGAATCAGACTTGGGGACCATGGTAATAAACAGTGATGACGATGAAGAGGAAGATGGGACCATGAAACGTATGTTGCTAATTTGCTTTCTTCTAATAATGTGTTTCCTTGTGCTGCATGACTATGTTGTATCATGAAAGTCTTTTAAGTGCCAAGTTCTGTGGTTAAAACAGGGAGAGAAGGGTATTTGTGTCTCTGAGCATTCTATAATTTGTAGAGAAAAATTTGACTGTAGTGGGAGATTCAAAGCAGAAGCCTGGTTCTGGTGCTTTGCTAAGTTTCTCTAGAGGACTCTCAAATTGTCCTTCTGTGAATTGTCTCTTGTACTGCTTGTCTCTTTGTCTCCTGTCCCACATACATTTGGGCCAGTTCCTTGGAGCTAAACTGGTGTGATTATGTGAGAGGCTGCTGTTTCAATGTCAGTGGTCCTGGGAATATATCATGACTGTCTTTGGGGTCGGCAGTCAGTAATATATTTTGCTGCAAAATAGTTTTGTAACCCATGATCACTTACCAGATGTGTATTTTTTAAGCAAATAATAATTTGGACAATTTTTGGAATGTAATTCAAAAATGGTTGACTTAAGGCAATGATGGAAGGATTGTAGAAACCTAACTAAAAAGTTCTAATTGATTTTGGAAGCATGTGAGGGAGTATGTAACAAAGAGAAAAAAATAATTGTGAATGTTTTTATGTATAAAAATATAACTTACACCGAAATAGCCATAAATACACATTTTAAAAATAGTTAATTTACATATTTACTTGCTGATCTGCTTATTGTTTGACTGAAGAATACTGCAGATTGAGATCCACAAATTTTAATAGTATTTGCTTGAATAAGCAGCATCAGTAGATGACTCTAACTCAGGCTGTAGCTGCCTGATTTCATGAGGCACAATGTAATAATGTTTAATTCCAGGCAGTTGAAGGAAGGGGGATGTGGGTAATTGTGTGTGTGTGTAATACAGAGAGCTAATATCTCAAGATTAGAAATCAGTGCCAAATAAATAACTTTGTAGTGTTTCATAGCAAATACAAAGCTGCATTTGTGTTTGCATATAGATACCTGATGTAATTTGCTCAAGATTAGTTGGGAGTGCAAAGCAGAAACTTTTCTTGTGTGTATAGGAAGTTGGAAGGAAAAAGCGGTTTTGTAGATTTCACTTGTTTGGCTTTTTTGTGGTTTGTTTTGGGTTTTATTTTGTTTTTTTCTTTAGAGTTCTCAGCTGTGTGATTAAAAACAAACAAAAAGGGAAAGCTAGTATGAAAAAATTTGAAATAAATTTTTAGGGTGGAAGTATTATGAATTAGGGTTTAGTGCAGTTTCTATGCAGCTTGACAAATCAGTTTCATAACTAAGTTCTGTATAAGTAGTTTACCAAATTGCATCATACTATCCAAACAGTTTTTATATGTGCTGAGAGGAAATACCTGTTACTATGCCAAACAGATCAGACGAGTGGCATTGGGTTTGCATTGCATTCTCTTAATCTGTGTTGTATTTGTCTGCTGGGGACATTGCTTTTGAAATGTACTGTTATTTTCTATTTTTAATTTATTCCAGTAACAATCTGTAGTTAGGGAGTTGCCTTTCTGCACTCTGACATTTGGCCAGTATATGTCTTAATCCCATTCTTCTTTCTTCTCAAACAAGAACAATTTTGGGAAAGGTGACAGGTTTCCTTTCCCTCCTTCCTCTCCCGTAGATGACTGTCTTGAGGTCTGTAACTGCAGCACAGCAAAGCCAGCAAGCTGGAGGTAGTTTGCCTCATGACAAATGATGGTTTAATCATTCAGCTGTCAGGCCACAGGTTTGGTTTCAGCACTTACTTGCTAAAATTTCTTGTATTTTGCATTAGGCACCCATTATTTGCATTTTTTACATTAAAAAGTACAAATAATTCAATAATGGGACCTCTGCATCTCTCAGCTAAAAATAAATACGAATTGTGTCCACTGTAGCTGGTCCTCTGGTTTTGTGATTGTTGTGCTATTGGCTGAAATAGTAGCAATAGCAAGTTTCCTAAATCAACGTCACCAGGAAGGTGATAAAGATCCTTGCTGTCTCTGAAAGGCAATAACAGATTTTGTGCTTCTTTGTACTCAACAAAGACACGAGATTTTGGAGATTGGTTGCTTTTTCCAATGTACCTTTATAGGCAAAGTAGTCACTTTCTGGATGTTTGTGAGATTTGATTATAATAAATCAGAATGAGTATCTTAGAAGTGCTCTTTGATATGGCTGAATAATAGAACATTGCAAGCAAGAAGTTTGGAGAAATAGACTTTGTAAACTAGGGAAGAGAGATTTCGTTTACTTCCTAGAGACGCAGAATATTTATGACAAACTTCTTATTTAATTGCTGTTGTGTTTAGTTTCATGTTTTGTTTCCTTCTGCCTTTTGTTTGCCTGCTCAAGGACAAAATAAGAAACAATAATATGTTTTTATTTATAAGTACCCATGCTTAGAGGCCTCTGGGAGCCATGACAGAAAATAACTAAAACCATATTTTTTTCACAAATAGGGACTTGTGCCCAGATAAAATTGGGATTTGAAACAAAAAGAGGCCTGTCCTCCTGTCCCAGCATACATTATATAGTCCAGTAATAAACAACAGTTATCCTGTCTTTCTTGGTATGCCTATGCATGCTCTGAACAGAGACTCTGTGGTATGTACCTGGAAGGAGGAAAGAAAATGAAGAACATGAGTGAGTTGGGAGGAACTGAATTTTTTAGGAGGTTTAACGTGGAGTAGAGGAAACAGTGAAAATGATGGAAATACTACTTCTTTTGTTTGGTTTTACTTATTTTTGTGTAGAAACCTTTTCATGTCAGTGGAGAGACTAGTGTTCAGCTTCCTCACATTCCCCTTGTGGTTTTTCAGCAAGGCTTAGTGTTGGGGCTTTTTGTTGCACCAAGAGTACTTGTGGTTGTTCTCTTTTCTCCTTTTCAGTAACATTCCCCCTGCTTCTCTTTTTTGCCCTGTTAAATTCATATTTCCATCTGCTTTGGGCTGGAAAATAAGTTGTCTCTTAGTGCAGTTTGGATTTATTCTGGGTTTCTAGCTGTTGCTTTAGTCTTTGGTGAAGCTTCTAGCTTGTGATTTAATGAATGTATTAAAAGAAGAGGACAGAGAACCTGTGAGGTGTCATTTGACAGCTAGAATGTAGAAGAAAAGTAATCAGGTTTTGTTGAATTCCTTTTTGTCCTATAAGACGTGGACGTTTTAGGTTTAGTCAGTATAATTCTTAAACACATTCTTCCTTCTAATCAAATATAAGAATGTAATTTTTGGGCGGCAGGGTCCCTTCCCTGTTCTCCCCCCCTCCCAGATGACTGTCTTGAGCAGTGTAACTCCAGCTAACTTGGCAAAATGGAGATAGCCTGAGGCAAGTGGTGGTTTAATCATTCAGCTGTCAGGCAACAGGTTTGGTTGCAGCACTTACTTGCTGAACTTTCTTGTCTTATTGTTTGATGGTATTTTTGATTACAGTGGGACATGCACCATGCTGTAGAACATACATGTTGATAGAAGAAATCATGAGTTGGCTTATTCATTATATTTTAGTAATTTCAGCATCCAGGGTAAGGTGTTTGATACTGTAAGTCAGTCTCCTGTATGCTGTGATAGCTCCAGAGTGGTGCTTCAAGACTCTTAGGCCTAAATCCTACAGCTGTTTTTTTAGCTGAAAAGCAAAAGCTTTTGCCACATGTTTTGTAACAACTTATGTCCTGATTCCAGCAGGAATTCCATAAGGCAAATTAATTGGGCTGGTTTCAGTGCTGCTGTAGCCTGGGCATTGATACTTCATGGATGTAGTTTCAGTCAAGCATGTTTACTGTGCCCCTAGGAAGATGGTTTGGTTTAGTACACCCCATATATAGGTGTGCTTTATTCTTGTATATGTATAGATAAAGAAGATGTTTATAGGTGTGTGTTCTTTATCAAGCCATTTTCTGTGACTGGTAAAAAAAGTGTTCATTTATGTCACTATTAGTATTGTATTTTAAAAATGGGGATTTATTTATTTTTTTTAAAATAATGTTGTTGGCAATTGTGCTTTTGAGAGCTGTTGCAGAATGTAGTTTAATGTAGATTTTCTTTGTTTTGCTAAAAACAGAAATAAAGTGTAATTTGGCTGGAACAGACTAATAGAAAGTGTTTGAACAATGCTCTTCAGACACATGGTGTGATTCTTGGGGTGTCCTATACATGGCCAGGAGTTGGACTGGATGATCCTGATGAGTCCTGTCCAGCTCAGCATATTCCTTGATTATAACAGTATCGTGTGAATATTTTCTTTTTCCTTTTTCCAGGAAGTGGGGAGAAAACCCCCAAAAATTATTAAACCATTTTTACAAGTCTTATTCTCAAGAAGCAAAGAAACATTTTGAGCTGGAAAATTTTCCCCATTAAATATTGTAACTTGGGTTCATAGTCCTTCAAAAAGTCTCTGAAAGCTTCAACTAGTTGAAAATTGTATGGATTTTCCATTTAAATGCCACTTGCAATTATTTCTGGCAAGTAGGTGTGACCGAATGAGGCGTGAATCAGAATGAAGGCTTTGGGTGTACAAGTCACTGTGATACAAAAACTGTGAGCTCAGTAACCACTTTGTTACACAGCTCTCAATAGTCAAACATTTCTTTCCTGAGGTTGACTCCCTGCTGCTCTGGTCTAAGTAACTGATACAGTTCCTACTGCTGTTTCCTTGTGGTTCCCAGTAGCCTGACCTCTAATTCTCTGAGGTGGCTGCTTTAGGCATGTGTTAGCAGAAGTGCTTTTCCACTCATAAAATACAGTCACAATTCCTCCTTAAAATATGGCTGAAGGAGGTGGCTGTGGCAGCTTTTTATGTGGTAGCTGACTGTTAGATGCATTTGCCTGGAGACTGAGGTCAAAATTCCAGGCTTCTGTCTTCCATTTCCCAGAATTACTGCCACTGTGTTGTAGGGCAGTTGTTTTTCAGGGAGAGAGTAGTGGTAGGAATGTATGGAATACAAAGCCTAAGTTATAGTGTATGATGTTGTATAAGCTCTGGTAGCCTTTGCAGCAGGGGTGA